AGAGAGCAGCATCGATTCTAGATTTCAACCGAATTATACCCTCAATATCCATGATAACGTTTAAAGTCCGCAATCGACTATCTCTCCTCAAAGGAAGCTTCTTCTGTAACGAAATAATTTCATTTTCAAAACTCTCATGTTGAGAAGCTTTCCACCACAAGCTCTCTGCTCTGATGATGTAATGAGGGTCTAACGGAATATAATTGTTATTTGAGCTATATGCCCCTGCTCTAGCTGAATGGGCGTTACGTGATGGTAATCTTGGTCGAGATGCATTCGGCTTCCATAAAATGTTGTCATTCCTCGCTTGCCGTTTCTGTCTAATTTGAACCGAAGCAGTAATTTGAGTTTTGCGGGATAAGTCAATGAACTGTAAAACTCTACCCGTTGTTCTTATTAGGCGCATCCAGGACGAAAATCTGGATACATCAGGCAAGCCAGTTATTAGATGATTAATTGGACAACTTTCGACAACTGTCACTCGCTCTTCTCCTGTAGGTTGTACAGTTCCCGCTTCTTCTATTTTTTCCTTAGGCCACGTCTCTTCTGGAGAATATAGAAAACTGGGACCGCGAAACCATCGATGATCCCTATTGAAATTTCGAGGTACATCTCTAGTGGCATCATCGGCCACATTTTCTCCAGTGGGAATCCAGCGCCATTCACTGACTCTTGTCTCTTCCTCTATTTCAGCTACTCTATGTGCAACAAATGGCTTAAACACCCGAGGACCTGAGCGCAACCACGCGAGCACTGTACGAGAATCTGTCCAAAATATTCTACGTCTTGGTTTTAGATCATGTTCCGTTTCCACATTTCGGGCTAGACGGCATCCAAGCACGGCAGCTTGCAATTCTAATCTTGGTATAGAAACTAATTTTATTGGTGCCACTCTACCCTTTGCCATAACTAGTGAGACCTTCACATCTTCATTTCCTAATACAGCACGCCAATATACAGCAGCCACATACGTCGTCTGGCTTGCATCTACGAAAATGTGCATCTCTAAATCATTGGCCACCGAAACACCTGGATAACAACGAGGAATGTAAAGGTTCTTTAACTGCCTCATATGACCTAGCCAATCGAGCCATTTTTCATGCAAATCATCTGAAAGAAGGCTGTCCCATAGAAGACCGAGGCGCCACGATTCTTGTAATATCCCTCTTGCGGGCAAAGTTATCGGTGTAATAAGACCCAAGGGGTCAAAAAGAGACATAATAACTTTTAGGAATTCTCGTTTAGTGGGTCGCTTGGTCCCTTCGAGTACGTCCAGATTAGCCCTTTTAATATCCAGATTAAAAGTAAGGTGATCATCAGTGGTTCTCCAAACTAGACCCAAAGTCTTTTCCAACGGAGCTAATGAGCTATTTTGAAGCTCGACTTCTTTACTTCTATTCTGGAGTTGCGACTCCATCTCGGCTATAACTTCAAATTCGTTACTCGCCCATTTTTGTAAATGAAATTTTCCTTGACGGTGCACAAAACTGACCTCTTCTGCTATACGCTTAGCTTCTTCCACAGAATCAAAACTTTGGAGATAATCATCCATATAGTGATTGCGACAAATTGCATCTGCAGCTTCAGGGTACTCCCGTCGATATTCTTCAGCATTTAAATTTTTAATGTAAATGGCAGTACAAGGTGAAGACGCCGCACCAAAAATCACTCTTGTCATACGATATTCTTGAGGTTCATTTTCGCGTCTATCACCACGCCATAAAAAACGCAATGCATCCCTGTCCTCAGTCCTAATTTTGATTTGAAGAAACATTTCACGAATATCTCCTGACACAGCAATTGGTCTTTGTCGAAAGCGCATCAAAACTCCAGGTAGTGATTGTAACAGATCTGGTCCGGTAAGTAACATGTCATTCAAAGATATCCCATTCGTTTTAGCAGCAGCGTCCAGAACGATTCGCGGTTTTGGTTTTGATGGATTAATCACAGCAAAATGTGGTAGATACCAAGTGCGGCCAGAACGAGACAAAGGTAGGGCCTCCTCAGCATAGCCACATTCTAAAAGATACTCAATTTGAGCATTATATTCCATCTTCTGCTTAGGGTTTTTATCTAATTTCTTCTCAATCGCTATCAATCTTCTTAAAGCATTCTCTCTATTTTCTGGTAACTCTAGTTTTTCTTTGCGCCACAACAACCCCGATTCAAAACGTCCATCAGGAAGACGGTGGCTATAGCTCTTTAATAATGACAACGCGCGTTCCTCTGGATCATTTTTTTGACGTTTTGGTTCGATTCCTAGTGAATCTATACTTAAAAACTTCTTGAACAAATCTTCTAATTTATTTTCATTCTTTTCATCTTCTTCTTCATTATGATTTACCAGCTTTAATACACTAACTTTTCCAGGACCCTTAGTAGGCCCGTGCAATACCCAACCTAATTCTGTTAATGATGCAACTGGATCTCTGCACCCACCACTTCTTATCTTCCTCGAAATAATCAAATGCCAGTTGTCCTGGCCAATAAGAAGAGTAGGTGTACCTCGATCATATGTAAGATCCTCGGTTATTTCCAGAAGGTGATCACAACCTTCTATCATATCTGCATCCACCGATTGGTGATTAAGATTCAAACTATTTATTGTTCGTGCTTCTATTTTATGCTCCTTATCCATGTGAACACCATTAATATAGTGACTCACTCTCCTTGAACTGGAAGCCTCCGTACGTGCTCCTGCCACCCCTTCAATAATAAAAGACTCTTCTGGACCTGTAAGTCCAATCTCAGAAGCCACTTCTTTCTCTATAAGAGTGACCGATGACCCTTCATCAAGCAAGGCAAATGTAGTCATGGTCCCCTTGGGACCTCTCAATCTTACTGGCACAATCTTCAACAAAGCTCTACCAACTTTCTGTCGAGTCGCAGCTACAACAGCTGATTTTCCTGCTGGTTCTACTGGCGTCTCTGAGGGAGACGCTGAAAAATGCAGAAGTGAATGATGAGACGCCTTGCAGCCTTCGATCCCACATGGCTTATAGGAACACCTATGACGATGATTGCGACGTCCTAAACATCTAAAACACAGGTTCAAATCTTTAGCCTTCTCCCATCTACATTTACTCTCCAAATCTTTGAACTGTTTACAGTCTTTTATGTGATGTAAATGATGACAGACAGTACACTCATAGCTCTGTTTCTTTGGCGTTATAGACGTTCCAGGTGTTGCAGTAGTAGATGTCACATTTGTTAGAAACGGTCTTCTTTGTGATGACGAGTGATGAACATTTTCAACTTGAGCATACCGACTGCAAAGGTCCGCCTCGCGGGAAAAGAAAGAAGACAATTTAACTAAGTCCGCCTCTTCCTCAGGTCGCCTCGCAGCGTAGTCATACCAACGGTACCTCAAAGTCGGTGTCATCTTCTCCACAACAGCTCTCACAGATTCTGGGTTAAACAAATAGCACTCCTTTTTTAAAGCCTTTATGACTGTTACAATATTGACTATCTTGCTTGAAAAAATACAAATATCACGAGGATTATCAGAAAGTTTAGAAAGTTGTTTAATCTTGTCCATCTCCGTAATAACTAATGCATCAGGTCGTCCAAATCTTGCTTCCAAGAGTGACAAAATCTCTCCAGGCTCCACATCTGCTATAAACAAAGAAATGGCAGCTTCCTTGGCTGCCCCTTTCAGGCATCTTCTTAGCCGCACCAAATTTTCCAATTTAGAGAAATTACTGCTAGTTTCATTATATGCTGCTCTAAACGCTAACCACTCACTACTTGCCCCGCTAAAAATAGGTAATTCGAATAGCGTTTTTGGGCTATGCATCGCTCGTGCGGCTTCAGTAAGCGCAGATACGAGTGTCTTAATATCGAGCTGCTGATTCGAAGTTGTTTGAGCATCGTTTGAATCTAACCAATCTCTAACTAAACTATCTCTCTCTCTGAAGCCTTTATTTTCCGCCAAGCTATCCAGCTCACTGCCCTGCGCTTCAATAGCCGCTAATTCAGCTTCAGCGAAAGCGGCCTTAGCGCAAGCCTCTTCTATTTTTGCAGCTGCTAATCTTTTTAAAGCCTCTGCCCGCTGCACACTCTTCTTGCTCATCACCGATCGCTTCTCCGAAGGAGCCTTATGGTATTCGTGTAATGACTTCTCTGATTGATGATGAACGGCTGCCATTGATGCAGGAGCTGGCGCTTGCGGATTTGCTAAGTTATCGTCTTCATGTGTAGGATGTACTGGGGCCGATTCACATTTTACGGCCTGGCGTCTGAGCGACCTAGTAATTGGCATGTTTGGGAGAAAAAAAGTGATTAATAAATTTAAAATAAATCAACACTCAACACACACGCCACGCCCAAACGCACAAAAATAAATATAATTTTATTCACTACACAAAAAAACTTATTGAAAAGAACTCGTTTCTACGACGAAAACGAAAATAATTTACGTATTACGTACTAACACAACAGCAAATACTATTATTTATAATTATAATACCGCACTAGCAAGTCATATGGTTTATGGTTATGTCAAATCGATATCGTTTTTGACATTTTACAGTAACACTCAGCGCTAAGTCTCATCTCTAAGGGTGATATTTAGTAACCTCGTATTCATGGTAAACATTTGTTTAGCAACAGCTGATCAACATTGTTGATGAGCGGCAAGAACGTTGCTGGAAACTTTGTTTAAATCAATATAGGTTGTGCACACGCCAGTCTGCGTTTAAATATTGATTATTGCCCACGGAAGTAGTGTTGTTCTTAAGACTGCGCTAAGTGTAGTTCCCGTGTCAAAAGTCAAAATCATTTATTCATATAGGTAAGACAATGTTCACTTATGAACGTCAAAAAATAATTATATATATATGAAATGCTTCTAATATTACATTTACTGCCAGTTCTCAAATCAAGGGCGTAAAACGGAAGAGAAGAACTGGCAATAAACTGTGTACTGTGTATTGGATGTTGACATATGGGTCTTGATGGACTTTAGCAAACGCTGTATAAAGGTATATTTTCTATTGTAGATGATTGTACTTAGTGAAGAAACGTACAGGGGTGGTGTTAAAATTAATGAGAAGAGAAAAGAGAATGGCATTAGAGAGCTAGATATGCATGTGATTGAATTGGCACATGATGACCAGCATTCGTCAGAGGAAGACGCCAAATTAAGTTCCAGTAATCAAAGAATGCGACTATTGGGAACTATGCTGAAACCTCCAAAGGTAATTAAGGGAATTTAAAAAACCCGTAAACCTAATTTTTATTGCTAAATTAAACTTTTTTTCATTTATTTAAAATTGTCAAAATCATATGGTACCTAATCAGACGCTATTCCCCATAACAGGTACAGTACATACCTGTTTTGTGGGTGACCAGATACTCTTCCGAGCTTTATATAAACGTGGAATAATACATAACATTATATAAACAACAAATATATATATTATTTTTAGCCTAATTCAAATATCCCAGTTACTCCGTATGTGATTGGATTGGCAGGAGGTATTGCGAGTGGAAAAAGTAATATTACAGAAAAGCTTAAGTAAGTTTATGACATTTAACTCTATTTTGCACAGACAATTGTAATATAATGCGACCAAATCATACTTCATATTTCTAAGTTTGTCTTTTATTCCGGATTTAAGATGGAAGATAATGGATTAAATTTTGCTTTGTAATTTTTAAGTACGTATTTCTCAATTTTTCAGGTTAAAAGGTGCTGCCATTGTAAACTGTGATTTAATAGCACATGAGTTATACAAGCCGGGGTTGCCATTAAACAGAACACTTGCCGAAACTTTTGGTAATGATATTATAACAGCGACAGGCGACATAGATAGGAAGAAGTTGGGAGAGATTGTTTTTAGTGATATGGTAAGATTACATTCTTATTTCCTACACGTCATTTTATTTAATCACAAATAAATATTCCTTTCATTTTTTCATATTAACTATCAATGATTACTGTCGAACGTAACAGTGTTGTCGACACAACAAAAAGGTAATTGAGCGTTTCTGCGATCCCAAATCCCACGACGGTTCTCGAATAATGTTATAAATTATGTACTATCATAAAATAAATCAGTGTAAATGTTCAATATACTAATTGATGACACCAAAAATTACTAAATTCGGGCCAATTTAATAGATCTTATTTTTACGAGCTCGGAACTACACAAGCTTATTGTAATAATGAAAATAGATGGTCATTTTACGATTTACTTTCACTAATAAATCTATTCTAACTAGAACGTCGTTACAATATTGCGTCACTGATGAAGCGAAAACTAACCGATGTCAAATGTCAAGTTGACATAAGCATTCGATATTAAAAAAAAGCAAAATTGCAAATGTATATCAATTTCAACTTGTGTTAAAATTTAAATATATTCCAGGAAAAACTAAAGAAATTGAACCAAACAGTATGGCCGTTTATTATTGAAGAGGCTCAAAACAGAATCAAAGTACTAGGAGAGCAGGGATATAAAGTAGTTGTTATGGAAGCTGCAGTTATGATACAAGCGAAATGGTTCCAGTACTGCCATCAACTATGGGCCGTTATTGTACCACCGAAAGAGGTATATAGAGTTATGGCTAAGTAATTTGTTTGTATGTCCATCAAATGCGTAATGCAGATATACCCCATTCCATAACTCTCATAGTTCGTTGGGATTTTTTGGGGGCAACCGGGCAGGAGGCTCACCTGCTGATAAGTGATACCGCTCATGGACACTCATTCTGCCAGAAGGCTCGCAAGTGCGTTGTCGGCCTTTTAAGAATTGCCACGGTCATATCTTGAAGGACCCTTAGTGTAATTGGTTCGGAAATACTTCAGTGGGTAGCTGGTTGGACGGACGTCGAGGTGATACGGATGGTATTTTGTCTTGACGTTCGATGATGAAACTCAGCTGCATGTATTTCCGAACAACTCCTCTGAACACTCTCCATGGTAAATGCGCACCACCACTATGTGGAACCAGCTGCCCACTAAAGTATTTCCGAACCAATTCGACTTAGGGTCCTTCACGAAAAGAGCGTATCAATTCTCAAAAGGCCGGCAGCGCGCTTGCGAGCGTTCTGGCAGTGCGGGTGTCCATGGGCGGCGGTATCACTTAACATCAGATGGACCTCCTACCCGTCTGCCTCCTGTAACATAAAAAATAAATAAATTATTAAAGAAACGAGCCCAAAAAGGATTGTAGCGGTACTAAATCATTATTATTAGCCTTGAAAAAAAATTGTTTATTTCATTTTATATTGTATAGTTTAAAAAACTTCAATTACAGGCGATTCGTAGACTTCAAGAAAGGAATAATTTGTCCGAAGAGGAGGCAAAGAAACGGGTTGCAGCACAACCAACAAACTATGAACAAGTGTCCCAAGCAAATGTTGTGTTCAGTCCGTACTGGAGTTATGAATTCACGCAGCAACAGATCGATAGAGCGTGGGGCGAATTGCAGAAATATCTGTGATTTTTGATATTTTGATTCCAATTTAAAGAACGGCATACCGTTTTGGCAATAAATTATTAGAGGAATAACATAGGATTTCCAGTTGAAAAATTCGTTTTTACGATAGCCGGACCCGCCCAAGTACCATGTAATAACGTCAAATAATTGGGAAGAGATTAGGCCGATATGTGTCACGTTAGCTAAGGGAACGTTCAAGTATTACGTAACGAAATTTTCATTTTGTGAAACGTTACGATGCGGGGCAGGGATTGAATTACGCGTTATTGTTAATATTATTTTCGACTTTCCAGTACTTTACACCACATAATCGTAACTTTAAGGTATAAAAAGTAACTGGATGGTCACGAAATGTTTTACTATTGGGTATAGAAAAACGTTACGGCACGTTATATGGGGGCGGGTCAAGAATCTCCAAAAATTGCGTGACGTAATACTTGAACGGGGACCGATAATACCAAGGATAGATGGCGCAATTTGCATAAGAAGTTATTGTTTTATAACATACTGCCCCCGCGAACTTAGTTTCTCCTTAATGCCTAGCCTGCCTTGTTAGTACATACCAACATGGAACATTTTGCTATGCTACCCCAGAGACTGTTCGGTTTTCCAGAATGAAAACTTTTTAGGTTTTTCTGTGATTTTTCTCTATATAAACCTCAGAGTTCAAGTTATAAGATTTTAATTAACTAATAAAAAATAGGGGTTTTTTTGTGCTGTATCTGTACTGAATATGCATAAAAAGGCATTTCGGAGGAGTATGGGAACGAACATTGTGACACGAGAATTTTATATATTAGATATCTGAAATAACACACTTCAACCAAGAAAGCTTGAAATCTTTTTTAACTACTACTTGGTACAAACTATTTTCTCTCAATTTTTTATAATAATAACTATTAATCTTTAGAAAATTGCGCCATCTATGCTTTGCATAAGCTAACTTGAAACATATCTACGTTGTTCCCAATTTTTGTAATAAATCAAGATTATTTCGAGCGATATTGAATTTAGCCAAATATTCTTTATGGAGAGTTACTGAGAAGGGGTACTGGTGCTCAATCATAAGGGTGGTGAATTATTATACATTAACCTATACATAGATAGAGTAGAGAGATTTGTAGATACAGTCAAAATCTATTATAACGACATCGAAGGGAATACTCATATTTGGTCGTAAAAACCGATAATCGTAACATCCGATGACGTTGTTATTAAGTACCTATACAACCGGGACCTTTGATTTTGGTCAATATAACCGGTGTGATCAATTTTTTTTATATTATTTCGATACATAATATAACCTCAACCTTAACGCACAACAGAAACTTATTAAAGTCGAAATCACTAGGAGTTACAGAAGTACACGTGAAGGTCCCCTTTCGATGAAATAGTTGCTTGTTATCGTTTAAAAAATGCAAACTTAGTGATAGTGAACAGACGGATGGGCAATTGACGGCATCACATGATTTTTTCTTGAGTTACTTTTTTATTAGAGGTTATTGATGAATTTGCATTTTACGGTTTTGTATATTTTGCTGTTTATTAGGTTCAGTTTATATTAACAGACTTTGAGGGTGCCACAGACAAAATATTATAATATATTCTTCTCTACAGTGCATTACGTATTTGTATCATGACCGCTCAGACGCCAACATTCACGGAAAGAATTTGTCGGTCAAACGGAAAGACCGTGTTATGTGTCGATGGTCGAAAACTAAACGCGGCATCGTTTGACTTCAATTTTATATTCTTTTATCTTTCCCGCCATGTTTGACACGGTACTTGTCTGAGGTATGCTGTGTTTGGATATAAAAACAGACAATACGTGTGATATTAAATAATTATGTGTAAGGGTAAATGTTTATTATATAATTAGTCTTAGATTAGGAAATCATTGTTTTGTTTTAATAAAATATATTTTATTTATTGCATCTCAATTTATTTACTCTTTAATTTTATTGCGTCTGTTGTGTTCTGTACAACTCCAAAAAAGACTCGAGAATTGAACCCAGTTCTTGTGAGGCAGTTATTCGTTTAATTAATTCTCTAGAGTCTAGACCAGTGCTCCCAACGTGGGGGTTTCCCATAGGGGGGGCAATTTATTTGTTAAGGGGGGCAATTGAAATCAGCTGGATTAAACACAACATGGAGACTTGAGACTGAAGCTAACCAAATTGGAACCTAATATAAAATCTCTGTGCAGCAAGGCGCAAGGATCTCATTAAATTAATATAGAAAAATCTTTATTAAAATTATTTGTAATTACAGTTCTTCATTATGTGTTGAAAATTTACTTATTGTTTCGTTAACAAATTCCTAGTGATTTAACATTTAAATTTCTTAAGTGAACAATTATTTTTTTTCTAATACATATAAATTATGTAGGGGAGCATAAGAATTTTGGGTAGGCTAAGGTGGGTCACACAAAAAAGGTTGGGAAAAACTTAGACACTTAAATCAAATAAACTCTCTGAAAAATCACTCATTATGAGTGTCATATTGCTTCCAACGAAAACGTTATTACGTAGAGTGAATGTGTATTGTCTATCCAAATTTGAATAAATTATTAGTAAATCTATAGACTCATTAAGCCACTCAAATAACTTATATAGCTTTTCAAGTAATGCTATATATCTAGTATTACAATTAAATAGAGTAAAATATACGACATTCTTAGGAGAACATAAACTTCTCAATAACGACTATACAACGTACGCGGAAATTTTTACTAATGTTTGATCTAATTTCACCTTACCGAACATTTTTTTAACAACCTTTACATGTAGTCCTGCTACTTCGTTAAATGTAGTCATTCTATCTTTTCTAGGGTCTGCCTCTTCCTGTCCTTTGCCACCATGTCACTGTTTTATTTCATTTGTCCTGACATTTTACCATCCACTCTGCTTGGAGCGATTGACCACCAAGTCATCATATGCAGTAGATATTTCTAGAATACTTTTCAGTAGTATTAGTATTATTATTTATTTTTTCAGTTTACGTATCGTAATTTACTTGATTATAATATGTATGTACATATAATCGAAATTACCGTATTATTATTTTTATAACTGAAGTACTTTCCAGTTTCTTTGTTCTTACCTGTTCAGTTGTGTGTGTTCGCCTCAGAATGCGCCCGATTCATTGATCTTTTTATTTATTAATGTGGTTGATGAACTTCTATGCCTGACATAGGTAAATCGTGGATTTGGAGCTAAGACATTACCAATTTCCCCACGATGTTCACCTTCACCGTAGCCCATAAAAAAAATCCATTGGTGCACAGCCATAATTCGAACGCACGATCATAGGCTTGAGGGTCGCATCCTGTAGCCACTAAGCCAACACTGCTCTGTCGGTAACTATTACATACATACATATATATTTATATACTTGGTGTAGTCAAATCAAATCCTTAATTTGATTGATTTGTAATAGCAGTACTTATGTCCTGTACATTTATATGATGAACCTTATTGTAAATGACTCTCACGAATCATAAAGATTATATACAGGTGGCCGTGTGGACAATGTACTTAAAAATAGGAATATTCTTTACGATAATCAGTGTTGGGTGCGGGTTTGAGATATTCACAAATAATCATGAAGATAATAAAATTGATATCTTAGTAAGTATATAAATAAATATCGATGAACTCACGGTCCCAATGGTGCAAGGAACTTGACCATTTGCAATGTTTTTATTAAAGAAAATACCTAGCCCGTATTTGAAGAAAAATTATTGGTTAAATGCGTAACTGTTGAATGCACTCACAGAATTTTTTCACTTACAAGGAAGATATAACAAAGACAGCTTATTAAAAGAGTACTTTAAAATTACTTTTTTTTTGCAGACCACAATTATTAAAGAAAATTTCGTGTACAACGGCCGTCACACATTTCTCCTTATAGGGATGATTCCTGATCAATTTTATTCGAAACTCAAACATCTACCTGTTACATTTACTATAACCGATATTAATAAAGAAGACGAACAAATTGAAGATGTCGTCCCATATCCATCAAATTATATAGTTTTTAGTTGTCAATCAAGAAACGAATTCGAATCAGCACTATTTAAAGTTGTAACACTACCATATTGGCACCCACTTGCTTATATTATCCTAGTTTATCAATCTTCATACGATACAGTTTCTATGGCTCAAATGTTTTACGCTTTTTGGTATTTTAAGGCCATTAATGTTGTTATAATACACTTTGATGACATACATGAGACTACCTATATATCATATTTTAATCCTTACACCAGTAGCTCGTTTGAATTAGATCATATTTTTGGGTGTTGGACTGTCAAAAAGATTACTATGCCAATAAGCGATTTGGATGGCTTGATTTGCGAACAAGGTTGCCACAATGTTTCTATATATTCAAAACTTCGCACTAACAACCTTGGTACATGCTTAAGCTTCAGTACCTCTGTTCTCAGTTATAAAAACCCAGAAGCAGTTAAAAAGCTTATTCTATTTGAGGATAAAAGCGCCAACTATCATAATTACAGCATGAATAGTTTTGCAATTGAACTGGATCCATTTCTCAGTATTAAGGCAGACAATGGTACGTACACACTTCATAAAAGAGATGGTCAAATTTGGAATGCACTGTCAAAACTCATGAATTTCTCCATTGACTTAACGATGAATGAACCTGCGTGGAAGCATGACTTTGATTATATTACAAACATGCAGGAATTTGTTTCATTCACACAAAGAAAGAAGGATTTAGTTCTTTTACCCATGTATCAGTTTGACGTGATGGTTGTTGAGTTAGATAATACTGTGCCTTTACAGGACAGTGGCGTCTGCTTTATGTCGCATCGGGCGGGTTTCGAAACTGTTGTATTCGATCTAAAGTTATTTAAAAACAATATAAAAATGATAATCGAATTTTTGCTATGTTTCTTATGTACTTGGTTAGCATTTATTATCTTTAACATAGAGCAGTCACGAAGAATTTCATTCGATCAAATCGGTAAGGATTTCGTTAATTCGTTTAGAACTGTGCTTTCTATAAGTGTTCACAAACCACCGAGACGTGGTTCTTTCCGAATATTTCTTGGAATTGCAATCTGGAGCTTTTTTGTACTAAACTTTTCCTCGCAGGCGGCGATAATTTCATTCTTCTCAGTATACAAGAAGGGAAAAGAAGTTGATACATTTGAGGATATTTTAGAGAAGGGTTACGAAATAGAAGGGATACTATCCCCGGATGTTGTACTACCGGAAACCGAGGAGAAGTTTAAAAGAATCAACAGCAAAGTGGTTCCTGTACAAAATATGTTTATATGTCCTGAGCGTATGAAGAATGACAGTCAAAGATTTTGTTTGGTGGATTGTGCTTTGGGCCGTTTCCTAGAACGAAATTTCTTAAACAACGGAGAGCAATATCTTCACATTGCAAGACAGGACAGAATACACAGCCACTACTTGCAGATGATAATGCATAAACATTCGCCGATGACTGTTCGATTGAATAAATACATGCAAATGATGATCGAAGGTGGTTTGATTAACAAGTGGATTGATTACAGATTTGATGATATAAAAGAAGGAGCACCAATTAAGCCGCTATCAATGATTGATCTGAAAGGTATATTTCAGGGATATTGTATGGTTTTAGTTGTATGCACTGTGATCTTTTGCGTCGAGTGGTTAATAGGTATCATACGTTGCTTTAAAAAAATTTAAATAAATAAAATATTTTTTTAGGATTCATATGTTAGTTTGTTTGAAATTAAATAAAGAATATTCTATTGTTGCTTTATTATTAGACGTTGGTGACCAGGCTCTTCCGAGTTACAATAAACCTAGTAATTTAAAATATGCAGTAAAAACATAATGAATCAAAATTCTGATAAATTTAAGTATAAATCATATGAGTAGCTATTTGCATAATGATTTATTTCGTTCGTTCTCCATAATCTGTCTCACCTCAGTTTGTACCACCATAATTTAATCACCTCGGAATTAGGCAAATGAATAATTTTATTGTAAAGCTCTTCCTCTTAAGTGGAAGCAACGTTGACCAAAGGTAGTAGGTACATCTTTTTAATTTGATTAATTAAACAAATTGGAAACATTAAAGCAATTTATTAGGTAATAAAGACGTGAATAAACATGTATATTTTAACTTTATTTGCAACTAAACACATACATAAAATTGGAATGGCTTTAAATGAATTTTTGATCGAGAACTCTGCTTCATTTAGTTCACACTTATATATAGTATTAGTTGTTTGGCAAACATCACAACTTAATGTTTCAGTAAACTTTTATATGCATAACAAGAGTTTAACCTTTTGAGCTTTAAAAGGGAAACAATAATCTTCAAAATAACAATCAGTCTATTAGAACACGAAGCGAGTGATAACACATTTAGTGATTTTATTTTTTATATTTTTTTCTATAGTATTAACGATACTTAATTTAATATATAGGTGGGTACAATTATTACATACCTACATCAAATGACGACCATTTATAAGCTTAAGCGCATAATTAAAGAAATAAACGCACATCTTATATTACGCAACTACATAATATAATAAGCATTAATCTAAATATAACTTAACAAATTATGTAAAGTCTAAAAGATAGATAATGGTGGTAATTCTGATGGACACGATGATGGTCTGATGGTCTCATAAATCATTATGCGCTGACTGTCATTAAACTTATCTAAATATTGTTTTTACCGCGCAAGTGCGTGTTAAATTTCTTGTCATTTTGACAATTTACAATCATATATATATTTTTCCTTATTGAATAAAAAACTTATCGTCATATAACAATATTATTTTATGTAAATTAATAAAAAAAATATAAGAATTAATGATTTTTATTATCCTTAAATCAAAATTAACGCCATTATATTTATGTTTAGAGATATAAATGCCATTTTGTTCATTATGTAAACCAAATATAAAAATCACTTACAACCACGACTAGTATTTCACTGAGGTCATCAAAAAGAAATCTATCGAATAGCTCTGTTTTAACTAAAGTACTCTACTGTCTGTTTTCATCACAATGTAGCCACAATTCGATAGAAAGAAACGAAAAAGTACTTTATTTAAAATAATACAATTAAACTAATTTAATTTTTATAAGTAAGGGTGTACAATCTAAAATGTAGAGTGATGGCTATACTAATTCGATTGTTGGTGCATTACTGTAGAAGCTGGAAATAAATAGAGCGAATGAGAAAAGAGGTCTAACTTATTGTACGTGTAAGTATAGTAAAATAATTGAGAGTTTATGCATATGGAGACAAATTACTATTGATTCGAAGAATGAAGAAGAAGACTTTCTTAGAATGGTTGAAATTAAATATTGTTTTACGTTTAAAAACGTAAGAAGTGACTTATGCCTACAAATTGTTTAGAGATAAATTTTTATAATAATTTAACCAGTCAAATAAATTATATGGTTTTTCGTAATAAAAATATCGCTATAAATGGAATAAAAAGTATACAAACACGTGAATAACAACCGTAATTAGTAAACATAGTATGTGGATAACCTAGTTGCTCTAAGGGCCTATAAAATTAATATGTATTAAAATCACTAAGGAGTAATTATTGTAATTACTATTACTACTTTATGTTCGATAGTCAGTGGCTAACTCACAAATCAACGGAGTTCCTTAAGTCGTATACCAGTTTCGTCGTGCGAGATCCTAGTGTCCTCTGTTTGTGCCGAGCTGGACATCCACCGACCTGTGCTAGTCTCCGGCATACGAACTCCTCGGAGCCTCTGCCACCTGATTAACATTTTTTTGTAAAATAAAATATATCATTGAGGATCTTGAAAAATCAGTGCAGATGCAAAAATGGCGTCGAGTGTCCCGTTAGGGGATGGCACAAAAAAAGTGCGTGCGTATGAAGTACACATGTCAGAAGTGAAACTTCTTTGGCAAACTAATATTTAACTCTTGTTCATAATTATAAAATCTAAAGCTTTAGATTTCCGAGACTTAGAGGGAGGGAAAAAGGAAGATATGTAAGGAATTTAATTGTCATTAAAAGTGTCGAAAATTAATACAAATAACTAATTGAATTTTTTAAAATTTATTTTTTAGAGATTTCAATAAATTAATTTTGCATAAAATATAAAATACTAATATTTCATAAATTCTCTTTACGAAATTTTAATTTAAAAAATTTAATTTCTATAATTGCCCTTCGGGTAGGTAATTCGCCCTTCTCACTCTCTCTCAATCGGTCTCAATCTCTCTCTCCCTTTTCTCCGACAAAAACGCTGCACATCTTCGTGACGTTCCGAAAAAATTTACGCTCATGCGCCTAATGAAGTTTCACTTAAAAAAATTACTAATACAATTTAAGTTTAATTAAGAGACATTATACATTAAGTGCAAGACACAGAAACATTTTTAACATCTTCCTATTACTATACACGTGACTATGTGTTTTTACGCTTTCCTCCCGCTGTTGAGTTCACACATTGAAATCAATTTTCCTTTAGTTTTTATAATTAAATTTTTTGTACTGTAGGTTTTTTATTATTATTTATTATATTTTTCTCGTGAGTACCAATGTAACAGTGTGCCGAGCGTTGGCTAGCTTTTATAAATAAATGCTACACTGATTACAATTGAGTACGATGACGATAATGAGGATTTTGGTAAATTAGGCGGCGGACATTGAACCAGAGACAATTTAATTTTTAATATACTCACTTCTTAGTAATAAGGTTGCGAACTTTGTTCTTCCACACGAATATGAAGAATATGTAGATGCCAAGAGCGATGTTAGATAAATCTATCAGTACCCAATACCAGTTGGAACCGCCCACCGCGAAGCTTATCACTTCCACGGACCAATTCACGCCCATTACCACAAATAGCTTTAAATAAAGTCCATATCTGAAATACAAAAGCACTTTCTTATATTTTGTATAAAGTTCCATTGGGAAATGCGTCAGACATTGTTGCGTCTGTTTTTTGCTTAATTTATCTGTAAAGCTAAAGCTCATGTTGCTTTTTCATAACAATACGAGAATTGTGCCCACAGAACGGAAAATCATCGCTACATTGGATACAATCGTAGAGGCTCTCGCGATCCTGCGAGATGTCGTGGGATTAACGAGATTAAGTGGTTGTCGTATTAGAAAACTTAATTTCAAAAATTCGATGGACAAGGGTATCTCTGAGCGTCGAATATATGCAACCGTAGCGTTGTTTTATTTGAAAATCCCTGTAATTATAAAGATGACGTGGAAAAGTTCAATGGCGACGTAATTTTCCATTTGCCTAGAAAATATATCTATCGAACAGAAAAAAATTTAAAATATTATCAAACAATTATAACGTCAGATACTCTTTTAAACGCCTCCACTGCTGTTAATGAGATTAACACCGCAACAGACAAAATAAATAGTCTCTATCAATGGTTGTAGAGGATTTTACGTGTTGCTGCTATAAAAACCAACACCACTGCAAGAGGAATAAGAAGAGCAGCTAAAAGTCCTTCACGTGTTTCTGCGAGATAAGATAGATTTCAGTCAGTCATAAAAAAAGAGATGAATCTATATAAGTAAGGGGTAGCCTATAATACACTTCACACACGATAAAACTTCGCTTATAATAGCTCTCACGCCGGTGCCAACCAGTGAGAGAGGGCATTTTCATCTACTGGGTACATAGTGACTGACATAAGATATTCCAAATTTACTGCCAAATATCTAGGATTCCGAGATCTCAAATTAATGATCTTGACTCGAGACTGCATACCCTAGCTCTCACACACAGACTAAAGCGCTAGAGATAAATAAAAATTAATACCTTTGTTTATCTTTCTTCAATTTGTCACTTCGCGATGATTCGGCACCTTTCAATATAGCAGTTTCCTGACGAATCGCACGAATGCGATATGCCGTGATTGTGAAGAGCACAGCATTGCAAATTACCAACAAAAACACGGGGATGAAAAAGTACACCAATTCGCTCATCCAATCTAAAAAATAAAAGCTGTAACTTATTATAATTTGCAAGAGTTTTTTTATATGTATGAATTAATATAATTATAGAATTATATTAATAATAATAGACTTTTATTTCAGATACTTTTACACTTAAATACATTTATATTTCTATCTCATTATTTTTAGGTATCTATATGCCCTTTTTGGCAAAGGCCTCCTCCAAATCTCGCCATTCATGTCTGCCTTGTGTTTCCTTGATTTGGTCAATACACCTTAGGTGGACCTCACCTCCCTCGGACAAGTTCCCTTTGGAGTAGAGACTCTTGGGCCGTGGGGTTCAAGTGCACAGGCGCTAATTAAAGATTTAAGTTGGCGCCTGGTATATAGTATCGGTGACCCAAGAGCTGGTGCTTTTCTCGCTCAGCGAAAAAGTATCGCAATACAGCGAGGAAATGCTGCCAGCGTTGAAAAGTTCAGCCAAATGGACCAAACTTTTTAAAACACTATTTTGACCGGATTGAGTTATGTATGATTATAAATTTACAACTATTTAACAACATTCAATCCGGTCAATAGTGTTTTATTAAATGAATAAAAGTTATGTTAATCAAAGACAATACTATGGACCAAACTTTTTAAATTTGTTTTAATTTCCTTTTTATAATTTTTATTATTACTATGTAGGTTAAGAAAATTGTATTTGAATGTTACGTTTAGTTTTTAATAAACGATCTTATGGCAACTCTATATACTCCTACGTATATTATATAAGCGAAATATTATCTTAATTCTTTCTTAAGGTCACTTACCAGCAAACCAGCACCTCTGCGTTCCAAATCCAGGTGTAACCACACCTGCAGGCAGGTTCTCACTGTACTGCATAGCAATTGTTACCGCGGTGAGGATTGCTGGTACCCCCCACGCATACAACCCATATAAGGCAAAACGCTTCTTCTCCCGACGTTTGTTCGAAGTACCCCTGTAGCCATGGCTGTTTAAAAGTTTTTTTTTTATTAGAAGAGCACGATTTGAAATATTTTGTTATTGCGAGGAACAATGTACTTATTAAAATATATATTTTTAGCTAAAATTTTTAAGATGTCCTAAACTTGACTGGAAAACCAGAAAGCAGTGCCAACTCGAAATAGAACTAACTCTAAACTTAATACATTTACTTTATTTTTATTTGACACTGTTTTAGTAGTATAGTAGTATTTTAACAATCCAATAACTATTAGGTCTTGACTCTGTCTTATTGATGACAACCTTTAAATTCGGTCGCGTAATTTGAAAGATCTAAGCATAAATTCGACGGTAAGCAAATTAATGGTACTAAGTGCAAAACTCGACATGACTGCGAGTATTTTTTTATTTTATTTATTACTTGAAATCAGAGGATAACAATTGAAAAAAAAAGAAAAATTTTGTTTTATTTAGTACTTAAGTTTTTATTCGGCAAACAAAAATGTTCCATATATTCGTATTTAGCTACTAAAAAGGTGAGCTAAGTAAAAAAAACATATGAAGGCGAAACGAAGTTCGCGGGGACAGCTACTACATAAAGATTACGGAGTTATTGCAATTTTAGTTTAATTACATAAACCCAATTTACCTGTTAGACGTTTGTGAGGACGAAAGTCCACCGATCCTTAGGAATAAGCATAGGAAAAAAGTTCACGATTTAAATTATCATGCCATAACATAATCGTGCTATTTTGTACATGCCAAATACCTAAATAAGAATTGAGTACAACTTTGTTTACCTTAATTTGAAAACGTAATAGGTTTAAAAATAAACTATTTAGTGGAACAGCTACCGATCAATATGCTATTTTAAAATGTATATAATAATGAGTATAGTAGTAACTCTAATAGCTAACGACAGAACATGCTACAGAGAGGTCGTTCCTATATTCTATTTACGAATTACCATTTGTAAGAAAGCATCCTCGTAAAATCCTGAATAACTCAAAAAAAGTGTATCAGTTTTTTTTGGAAATGGGTGATGATGTAACCTGATGTTAAGTGCCCATGGACACTCAATGCGAGAGGGCTCCCGTTGCCTTATATTTATGCCTTATATTTGAGAAGAAATAAGGTATTGCTTTATTTTTTAAATGAAAAGCATTATAAAAAAAACACTGCGATCGAATAAACGAATACATATGTTGAATGAAAATAAATTATATTTACGTTTTGATAACGTTATTTGTTTTATAATTGATGCCAGAAAAGGTTTTTGATTGCGGATTTCAACCGATTCGATTCTCTCTTGTTTGCATTTTGTTTCTGTTAAAAAAACCCTTTGAATTCTATTGCTGTATTAAAGATATTTACTTTTAACCATATCATGATGCTATTTCTGAGTTGTATTCGTAAATAGAATATAGGAAATGGCTGTAAAACAACAATGGTCGAATGAAAGGACCTTCGAAACTACCTACTGGTCTGGGTGAAATGCGACAGAAGTTGGTGCCACGTTTCTGGAATACATTTTTCATTTTATTTACAAAAAATCGATGTGTTTTTTTTAATTTGTAGTTGTAGCGATCTATACTTGGTGCAATTACTACATATGGTGAAATTGTTTGTGGAACTATTTATTCGTTTTGCATAACACTATTAAAATGTTAAACATTTATGAATACATTTGGTTTTGTATAATTTATTATACAATCAGAAATCAGCAGTTAAAAAAAATGGATAAATAAGGTTGGAATAGCCTATCTGTTGTGTAATTTTGTACTCTAACCATGTTTTTATATTTGAAAAAATAAAAATGGCGACATAAATATGATTTTTCTATCACAGCTTGCTTGCGGTGCATACCATTCCATCCTTAGTTATTCCGTCAAAGATAATAAAACTAATTTATTGTCTTCCGTACTTATTAGATATTAATAAAAATATAAATCTTACCTAAAAGTTCTCCATATATCGATACACATGATGTTAAGCCAGAAAAAACTCGTTTGAAAAGTGTAGTACACGATGAACGCTGAAAATTGTTAAAAAATTAAAGATGTTTAAGATTGGAACCTAATTTATTATATTAATATCAATCCTATCTCACTAAAGACGTTATTATACATTTAAAAAATGTAAAATACGCCATTATCCGAGTATTGTGGATATTATCTTACGCCCAAAAATTTTTTTAGGCCGCCATTTAATTTGAGGTGAGATTTACCTATCACCGAAAACATTAAATGTTTGGCAGTAAGAAACCTACAAACATTGTGTATTGGAATTTTTTTGGTTTTATTTTATATTTTCGTATTTTTCCAATGTTATTCTGCTATTCGGGATGCCGAAAAAAAGAAACAAATTAATACCATTGAAAACTGTCCAGCCGTTCTCGACTTATAAGTGTTAGAACAAACCCGATTTAGTATATATTAAGATTTGTGCGTCATAAACACTTTATTCATATGTGAAAAGTGAAACAATTCAAAAAATAGCCACCGAAAATGTTTTCTTTCAAACATTTGGTTTTAATTCGCGCTGTAGACGATCGGGCGTCTGTCATCGTATTCTTTGATTTTCTTTAGCTCAACTATAAATATATTTTTTTGCGTCTATAGTTTGATTGTTTCAGATTTAATGATTTAGAAAGAGCACGAGTTGGTCTCCTAGAGATTTCGTTTTATGTGGGCAAAACACAGGTCGTGAGGACAGCGACAGGTCTTAGACTTAAAGTTCGACATGTCTGACAAAGAAGATCATAAGGAAACGGAGACCAACACTAACAAAAACAATTGCTAACTTGTATCTTGAGGCTACAACCTCACCTCACAACTATTTAGTTAAAATATATTTAATATTGTTTGGTCATTTCGTAGTAGTAAGCGTGTCGTTCATGTTTCATGAAAAACAAAAGCTTTCATAAATTTGAAATTGACTTCCTACAAACTTACATGCTTTACCGATTTATAATTGTTGATTTATGGGCGTCATACTAACAAAATAATTATTTATCGTATTAATAATTCGTACTTATTTCTATAATCAGTCTTACTAGCACACACGAGGCGTCATTTTATTATCACTTTATTATTTAGACTATTATTTACGATTAACATACATTCTAATCGTAATAGTAATTTGAATTTATTACTATCTTCAAGTACTCATAAAACAACGACGTTTATGCCATTAAACTAATAACTAAACCTTGTTATGACTATTGCACTCAAATCAAATATATAAATATTTGCCAAAAATATTTTTGTTGTCTAACAAAGTTTAATGGTTTTATACATAAACGTAAAAGATACTATAAGCCCCATTGTATAAGTACATAATTATATTACGTAATTTATTTATATTATTATATCATAATAATTGTGCCCTACCATTTTAAGCGTATTCATAGAAGATCTGTCACATTTTCATTAAAAAAACCTGACAATAATGAATATAAAAATCATCCAAATTGGTGAAGCCGTTCGGAAGTTACGGCGATTGGCGATTTATTTTTATTTATATAGGTTTTATAAACATATATTTAATCTTAAAATTAATGTGTGGTTATAAATTTTTCGTAACCACTAAACACAATTTCTTGTTTCATACATTTATTATCGGGTTTGATTTTATTTGTTTCTTTAATTAACGCATGACTCTAAACACTGACGTCGTGCGTTTGATCCCAACTGTGCCTGTGGATATCTAAGTTTTGTATCAATTAATACTTACTAACATTATGTTGAAGGGAAACATAAATTTTTGAAGATTATTGACGTCTAGTAAAACGTTTCGTGACCACCTATAGTCGTATTTTTAATTAGACGAAGCTAATGTCACTTTGCAAAATAATGTTGCCATATTTAAAGTAATAGTGATGCGTTCAGTTCTTGTTCAATCAGATGAATGAACAATGAGTGTGAATAGTTAATCATTTCAAACAATAAAAGAATATTATTTCTATTTCAAAATTGTATAAAAGTGCTATGATATAAGTTAGGTACTAGTACTATGTAACTACAATCAGTTTTATGACGTCTTATTACAAAGCGCGGCGCGGCGACTAGTGCCATCACCGATCATTAATTCAGGGGTTTTTACTTTGTCACAACACTATTTTTATTTCATTAAAAACTGACAACACCGTAAACGTCAGTTGACTTCGTCTGATTAAAAATACGACTATAGTGACTCTTTAGTAATATTAACAATAACGCGTAATTCAATCCCCGCCCCGCATCGTAACGTTTTACAAAAGGAAAAAAAAATCGTTACGTAATACTTGAACGCTCCCTTAAAGACACAAAAATCGATCATGTCAGGCACAACAGGCCTCATAAAGAATAATTTATAAATTATAGGAGAACTGAAAAAAAATCGTAGGACAGGATTGTACCGACACTCATAGTTTTAAATAGTTTTAATTTAATCTCAATATTGTCTATGATTCACGCGAGTACAACAAATTTATATAAAACTTATTTAACAAGCAATTCTCTTACACGCGAATTTATTACATTATTTTACTCGATCTACGTAATCCATCGTGTTGGGTTTGAATTTAAAATCAGTGTTGGAATATATTAAGATTTAATAAAACAGAGTTTTAAAGAAGAAAAAAGATTTAAACGGCTAATATATAAGTGACTTTTCAACTTTGATTTTGTTCCCTTTGGAAATTCTATGAAAGATGTAAGTCACACATTAAAATAGGTGTTCACGGGCTGCCGTGACTGCCCTTTTTAGACGTCCCGTAGGTTCGTTCGCCCCCCTATCATATAAAAAAAAAGTTTACGCCTGGTAGACATTACCGGTGACCCCAGAGCTACTTTCTTGGGTCAACGAATAAGCATCGTAATACAGCGAGGAAATGCTGCAAGCATTAGAGGTACACTGCCACAGGGACCAAAATTTTAAATTTATTTATCTTTTTATATATTTTTAATTACTATTATTACTATGCATAGTAAGATAGTAAATACTCTATATTTGTGTGTTAAATAAAATCAGTAGGTACTCATTATCAATGGTGATAGATACACGCTACCCCTGCATTAGCATGTCACGGGCAAAGTACTTAGGTTAATTAAATAGTTTGTAGTTGACAGTATTTTTGCAGCAACACATTGTTTACATGTCGTTGTTTGTATATAATTAGGACCTCTATGTCAAGACAAATATAGATTTTTTTAAAGTACTAAATATATTTAAAAAAATTATTTTATCTCGTTTGCTTGTCATATTCGAATTTATATGTATAACCCATAAAATATTAAAGTAATTTCTAAAACCAGGTAACTCGAATTCTTTACGACTACATAGATAATTGCAATTTTGATGGATATAAAACAAAAATATAATAAACGTGTGTATTTATGTACACGCGTTAGAAGTTATACTTCTTTGGCGTAACAAGATAAAAATCTTTTCAAAAATTGTATTCTACGTTTGTAGAAAATGCGACACTTATAATAGAAAAAACTAAAATGTTGCCTATAGCTAACTTTAGGGTGTCGGTTCTTTGTGACGGTGTGCGCGCGCATCGTAAAAATATACTCTCATCGTTTTTCCCTAACGCGCCAAAAGAAGTATAACTTCATAAATATTTTATTTATTTATATACACGCATTTTTTCCAAAGACCTCGGCAGGAACCACGGATCTCCATTTGTCACGGTCATGACATAGGTACCTCTGTATTTACCAGGCGCCAACTTAAATCTTTCATTAGCGCCTGTGCACTTGAACCCCCCGGCCCAAGAGTTTTTACTCCAAAGGGAATAAAATCCATATTTTAAATTTATTATTTTCCATTATGTGTATGATTTCTTTCTTCCAAAATTCTATCCATAAATTAAAATACCAGTTGAAAATTGCTTGAACTTCAACTCAGGTAAGTGCAATCCATTAATTATGCTAACTTTGCTTTATTATATTCTTATGCTAATGAAAAAATGTTGCAGCCTGTTGCAGGTAAATTGTAATTAAAAAGTTTCCTGCAATAACGAGAACTTTTTAATTGAATTTATGTATCCCGGTCTCTACGATAGTTTAAATATACAACACGTATAGATTCCTTTTTGTTCAGTTAATACATTATGCTGACAGCACTTCCTCGCCGTATTGCGACACTGATTCGATTTCGAGAAAAGCTCTAGCCTCACTGTTGATGTTTCCTTAAATATTTAATAATTGCGCTTTTGTGACCCGTGTCTTAAAAAATCCTACTCTAATGGTATCAAAATGAACAATTGTCCATACTTTGATCTAGTTAAATTTTGATAATGAACTGTTTATACATAAAAAACGCTGTAAAATAGAAAATTATTGTCAATAGCGAACCTGCTAAAAATCTTACTCAAATAGCCTATTTCAATGGATACTGTACAAAGCTATAATTAACCTAATTACGAAAAAATTTGACACGCCTTGTTAAAAGGTAACATAATATTAATTTTGTTTGAGTCATTAGCCCTGATATTTAAATTTCATTAATAGCTTGGGTGTGCCATAATAGGCATATTTTTACGAGTATATTTTTCTTTAATAAGTGAAGATATTCATTATTGTTATGAATTCGAAATATATTTTTTACGATAACGTTATTTACGTTTAACAACTATTGTCAACAGCAATAGACTTTAATTATTTTTTAAATATATTAATAAATGTTTTCTCTTCTGTGGCTGCTCGAAACGAACCACACTAATTGCTTTATCTTTCTCGCAATTAACACTTACGGTGATAAAAAAACCACCGTTGCAAGTCACAGACCCAACAAAGACTAAATCTCATCCTCTAGAAAATAGCCACAGACGTGTATCTACCCACATTGGTAGGTCACAGACTACATGACATCATATAATATGTTTTGCTAAGATTAGGATAGGGCCTCGGATTTCTGTATCTGCTTCGAGACTTACCTACTTGTTATCATCCTTCTGTGCCTGATGCACGCCGTCGTGTTTTTGGTCGTAAGCCTCTAAGGCATAACGGTTTTCTCACGATGTTTTCCTTCGCTGTACAAGCGATTGTTAAATGCGTACACTGACAAAAAGCCCACCTACAATCTCAGGGATGAGGGTATCACGCTGAAGGGGGACTGGGACTCTGATAAATAGATTTGGATAAGCCTTTGATCGACTTCTCTTCTATTTCTTACTGGGCGGCCACTTTGTTATAATATTTGTAAGCATCGCAATAAAACAAGGAAATGCTTAAGTCAATGCTTAATTAAGATCACTTTACCACAGGGACGAAACTTTAACATATTAGTGATTTATTTATTTTAACATTAATTTCTTTTATTTTTATATACAGCTTATATTATTAATGTTATTTTTAATAAATAAATTAATGTAAACTCTATTAACGAAAACTACAAATTGTTAGATTACTAACTAGAATTGTCATTGCTTCTGCTGTTTTTGTAATATTCCACTGTAAATGTTGTTGCATACTTATTATTAGATTAACATGTGTGTTTCAGTGAAGCATTTTACCTGTACCTATGTGTATTGTTCGTGTGCCTTGTCTCAGATGATGATGTGATTTGTCTCAGATTGTATCGGTTTCTTTTGATAATTTTTATTTTATAGCAAAGTAGGTGATTAGCCTAGTCTGACATTATGTCGTCGGTTTTTGGATTTGATACAAAACGGTTTCATCACCGTGTTTTCCTACTCTGTAAGTGCGATTGGGCACCACCAGGATCGAACCCCTGACCTCAGGGCTGGCAGTCATACGAAGAAGCCACTAGACCTACACTGCTTTTGTTACTCACCTATAATATAACATCCAGTCATATCAACGCCAATCTTCCCAAAGTGCAGTTTCAAGTAAGACAGGAAGGAATAGGCAATTATTAGTCCACCGCAGTACGCCATAAGACATAGGCCGTGTAGATTGCGTAACTCCGGGATGAACGCGTACACCAGGAATGTTGCCAACAGGAACGGTATCGATATCATTAGACCTTCGGAAATAAAAAAGGATTACACAAGAGGGTAGTTGTGCTTGTGCTTAAATGTTAGATAAACAATACGAAGTCTGCATCTGTAATTCTTATAAATTACAACTCAGAGTTGTTTATTAGCTGTTAATGGTTACGTTCATCTCTGTCACTGTGTATAACTACTCATTCATGTTTTTTATTGTCACAGCGCTAACACAATTTGAGAGAATGAAAAAAGAGTTCTTTAGTTTAGTTTTGACTAAGGGGTCACAAATCACAATAGAAGAAGAAGAATGTTTAGCTGCACGCATTAATACTACTGGAATTTAAAATTATTTTTGTGTTAGAAATGACAGTTGGTGTAAGCAATATCAAAATTGTCAAGTAACACGCGAGCCTCATCAATAGAGCCTCTATAACTTGGTACAAAATATATAGGCAAAATTTTGCGGCAAGACCTGCATGTACTTTTAGTAGGAAAAAATTTAATCTTTTCCCGTACTCAGTAATAATATTGATTTCAATTAAACCAGTGATTACGTTCGTCTATTATATATAATACTAGCTAACCCGGAAACTGTTGTTTTGCCATGTATATTATTTCTAGGAAACATTTTTTTAGTTTAATAAAAATAACTATCTACTTTAATAAAAATAAGGGTTGATCGCAGAGGGGTGAAAATTAGGGGGTTACATTTTTGTATGCTGTATCATAAAAAAATAAAAACAAAAACTTGTCTAAAAAGAAAATTGGGGTGGACTCCCCTTATCACTTAGGGGTTTGAAAGATAGCCAATTCTCAGACTTAGTCAATATGCATAAAAAATTTATAGGAATCGGTCGAGCCGTTTCGGAGGATTATGGGAACGAACATTGTCACACGAGAATTTTATATACATATTAGATATTGGCGAATAATATTATTTAGTTACAAACTACGGGTCCTTGTCAAAATAGAATAGATAAATAGGTAGAGAGAAAATAGTAGATTTTCAACCTATTAGGGATTTATAACAGTTGTAATGACACCCTATGGCGATGTTAATGGCTCGTAAATTTTATGGCTCACGTGGGTTTGTTAACGAAATCTAATATTTGTCAGCACTTAACCTTATTGAGACTGTTACAACACTTTAGTTATCTTTTAACGTAATTGTAAATCGTGACTTAGCGTTATGTAAGAAATCCAGAGATGTTTACGTGTTTGCGCTACAGCCTTTTAGGTCTGGGCCTCAGATTTTGTGTATCTGTTTCGTGATCAATTGTTTTTTCTAAGAGGCATATAGGTATGCAGTTTTCTGTGTCTGACACACGCCGTTGACCGCCGTCAACTGCGAGTATTAAATGCACATTACGATTAAACAATTTACACAATCATGTAAAATATCAAATTTATTACGACGCTACGTCTTTATAAATTTGTCTTAAGGTGTATTTTACAATGCTCAAAAATTAAAACAAAAACCATGTCAGTGCGCACAATTCTTTTTTTTTTAAATAATTGACTGCATGTATGAACCCCACTTCGCTCTTATGCTTTCTTCGCTCTATAACTTCACTCCGTAGGTTCGCAAGGTAACTCAAGCCTATTATTTTAAATCATTACTTCTTACCAATACTATAAGCGATAAAAAGCGCAGGACTGTCAACATCCTGTTGGCCGTCGTCAGGGTAGCACACACCCGCCACCAGTATCGGCTCTATATGAGTAGCATCCTGCCACATTTCAACACAGTATCTTGCTGGTGGATGCCACTGAGGCAGGCCATCTGCTATCTCATACAATGTCCCGTTCTGAAAAAAAATATTCTCAATATATTCTTGAATTCGTTTCGATTTGTATCTATGTTGCGAATTGTTTGTGGTAAGTTTTGTTGGCTTGATAAAAATCATTATCTGTAGAGAATCGCTGTGTCTCTATTAATCTTTACTAATGTTATAAATGTTTGTGTTTTCATAATAAACTCATAAACTACTGGACCGATTAAAAATTCGTTCACCATTAGAATGTTACATTATCCCTAAGTAACACAGTTTGTACTTTTCCAAAATATTTTAATTGTCCGTGCGAAGCCAGCAGAGACTGCTAGTTCAGGTTTTTAATAAGATTAAACTATTATGAGAAAGACCGGACATTCAATAAATTCTAGATCATGCCCCAAATCATTGTTTATTATTGATAAAAACTAGCTTCGAAAATAAAGTTTCAGCGAAGTGAGTTTCGCTTAATAGAAAAAAGTTTTTTTATCAAAATGTATAGTACTTGCTGATATGAGATTTTGATTATTTAACTTAGTTTGTTATGTTCATTTCGATCTTATAAGTAGATGAATACTAATTTATCTTAAAATTATTTGTCAAGTAATTTGCGAATGAAAATTGGTATGATTGTAGAACATGTGAATGTGTTGCATCAGTTCTAACATATAATGTAAGGGAGATCGAAAAATGATCAAACTTGGGTGAGTTTCATGGCGTGTCCGCTAAAATGCCTCAATGTAAGTGATTAAGTATTTTAAACATAAATGGTTTAACTTGAATAATATTTTATTTTTTATAACCTAACCTAACGAGAAACTTGCGTAGGAACCACCATATAGATTACATATAAACATTTCGATTACCAAAAACGCAGAATGTTAAAAAAGGAAGTCAATAACAATAGAAACAAACATAAACGAAAAATAATGATCAATACTTCCTATTTTATTTCGTGGATATGGATAAGTAACAAACGTGTGTCTACATAAAATTACGAACAACGTACGTGTACGCCTTAATTTAATTTCTGCCAATGATTTCCTGCGCTACCAAAAACAAAAAAAAATCTTTTCTTCACAACAAAAGCGCTTTTTTTAAATTTATTTTATTATGAGACACATGGTGCTTATAAAGCAGAGAAGTTTAATATCAATACTGATTCGAAATGAACAATTATTTTACTGATAATAAATGCATTTATCAAGGATGGTATAAAATAATATGTATATGTGAATGGGACGTTACGATTTGAAGACTCGTATGAAGATTGAAGAGTATAGGACAGACAGATCTATGCAGCTGTTTCAAGGACATTTTGTAAAGCAACCACCAGAAAAAATTAAACCTAGATTCTCCGGGTTATATGACATGTCCGTACTAAGGTACGGTGTTATTAAAACATTGTACCAGTTATTAATTCAATTATGTTTTAAAATGATATTGATCTTGACAACTTGAACTTAACCTGTTTGTTTAGAATGATTGTCAATTTGCTTAATTAAATGGCGCCATTTGAACAAGTTCCATTCACTTATAATTCATGCATTCGTATAATAAACAAATGAATATGTATGATCGTAAAATGCAGGCGTATTATATAGGGTTAAACCACATATTATCTTATATGATTTTAATTCTCATAAACATATTACATGAGAAATACTTATAATATTTACAATATACTTAATGCAAACTATTTACTGAAACTTAACTGAAAATACTAGAAGCTTCTTTTATTATTTCAAATATTGGCGATGCATGCCCAAGTGGCGGCTGACTCTTCGATTTGATTAGCCTGGGAAATTATTAAAAAGTTCAACAAAGGTAGAAGCTTCTCACCTTCGCGTTAAAGAAATTGTCAAATAGATATTAAGCCCCATTGAAGAGCTTCGGGACACTGAATAAATTTTACCGGTTGAGGCCTTAGTATGAATTTTACGATACTTTCGTAAATAAGTATTAGTCAACACCATAGTTATTGACAGCTCAAATTATTACTACTACACTTATTCTTAAACATGCATTCATGCTTTTGTTTAGTTTCAAACGCGCTCGTGGATTGCTTATTAAGTTTTCCAGATCATGTAACCAAACTTCCGCTACATAAGTTTAAAGTTTACATCAAGGAAACCCTAATAAAAATGGATATTACACAGTTCAAGGATACATAGATGAAACAATGTGTGGGCACTATTAGATAGTGAGTTGGCGTAAATTGACATACAATAGTGTACAAATTGTACCTAGATGAATAAAAGACTGAATTTTGTATACAACACTGTATCGCTACTTTCCTATTACGATAGCTATCTTATTCAAAAACCCGACTTCATTAATAGACCAAAGAGGAGGTTATAAATTAGAAGTTAAATTTTTGTATGAAAGCTTGAGTATCGCTTCCTAGGTGTTTTTTTCCCTAGGTATTTCTAAACGAAAGTGTAAACATGCATTATTTGAATATAATTCGTATATTATAACGATGTCTATGAAACAAAATTGTGAAGCGATTTAAGTGTGTTAAATGTTAACATTACCCAAAATATTGTTTTCATAATTGTTTCCCACACATGGTAACACTAATCATGTGTTAAAATAATGACGGCTGTAATAATAAACAGTCTTAAATACTATTCGGAGCGAATACATTTGTTAGCATAACCAGACCAAAATTTTAAATTAAAACACGTTCCGTCGTGCGAAAATAACATTGCAAAAACAATGTGTTTCTTAAATATTTATTTACGTCATCCAAATATTTGCTGAATGATGGAAACTTAAACATTTGACTAGCTTAAGTGTAAATAAGTTGACCCTTTGCAGAAACAGCTTGTTTTATTCACACCCTTTTTGAACTTACTTGCGATATTGAAAACTAGAAATTGTTAATGGTATTAATACGAACTTAAAGCTTATTAAATAAAATAATAAAAACACTAGAATACAATGAATTTATTCAATGTCCCGACGCTCTTCAATGGGGAAAATTCCTATTAAACAATTTCTTTAACGCGAAGGTGATTAGCTTCTACCTTTGTTGAAATTTTTAATAATTTCCCAGGCTAATCAAAGCGAACAGTCAGTTGCCACTGGGGCATACAGCCCCAATATTTGTAATAATAAAACAATCTTCTAGTATGTTTAGTTAAGTTTTAGTAAAAAGTTTGTTTATTCGGATTAAGAGTTATCTCAAATCTAAATCGATGCCATTTTTACGCGTTATTTGCCTCATAAAATAGATATAAAATCAAAATACAAACGATAACCATTTGCCCTCAAAAATCTTAATAAATCCTATTAATAAGAGTTTTCCTATTAGAAATAAGTAAGCCAAGGTTACGTTCAAACATAAAATAAGAATTATTGGTTTTATAGATTCAAGAGCTGAAATATATATATAATAAAAAAAACAATATTTTATAAAGCACAAAAGTACCAAGAAATGCTTGAAGTTTAATATTTAAATACGGATTTGATCGAAAAGTATGAGGTTGCAATTCCATAGCTGTAGTCGCAACACTAAAATTCAGAACAATACTTGCGATTGGTTCACATTACATATTATATTGCGATGTCCAAAATTCTCCTTTTTAAATTATGGGCAAACGAGCCTACAGGACGCCCATAAAAGGCAGTCTTCGCAGCCCATTTTGGTGAGTGCGTTGCCGCCCTTTGAGGGAGGAGTATGCTCTCTTTTTAAACAATTGGAGGTCGTATCTCCCAGGGATGATCTCCACTGGGAGTCGATTCCACATTTTGCTACTTCGCCGAATAAGCCTAGTGAAGCGGAAGACTTCCAGCCATCAAGGTGATGCCGATGTAATCAGGAGTTAATACCCAAACAACTCTTCGGAAAACTGTCCATAGACTGTCCTTTGTAGAGAGCCAAAGCTCTTTGTAAAAAGAAATCTCTGCGTAGAGTGAAAGAATCAAGTCAATCAGTAATACATTGGAGATTGACAATTCGATAAGCCCTTCCTGCCTGAGTTTGGTTAAAAGGAAGAAGCTGGTGTCCTTCCTTGAGAAGAGCACTATTTCTTTATTTTAAAATACCTATGGGTATGAGGGTAAGATTCAGAGTCGAGACTTAAGCTAAGTGCGACTCCTGTAGGGCAAATTTTATATATTTCTGACATACCAGAGTCATAGTTCTCTTTAAGCCTCGACTTATCCTAAGCTACACATTACCGCAATTATATTACGAGTATCCAAACAAATATCCTTTAGACAACTTGAAAATATCGTCTTTGCTAATAATTAATTTGTGTAAATATACCTTTAGGCTAAGCGTAAATTTAAATGGAATTAGTTTTTCCAAACTTCCAAAGACAATGTATACTCCTTACAATGAATGTCGTGTTACAGATAAGCTGAACTATCTACTACTACTATCTGACCTATGGAAAAAAGTCAAATGGCAAAGTTGTAGGTAATAAAAAGATCTAAAACTTTTGTATTTACACACTTTTCTCATAACCTCAAAATTTATGAAATAATAATAAATAAAATTCAAAAAACCAAGTTTTTGGTTTTTAATTTTTATCTTTTACAAAATTTATTTTTTCCCCACGAAATTTGGTGAAAACTTACCTATTTATGTCTTTAATACGCTGTAATTTATTTGATTTGAAATAATAATTTTTCAACCTTATTTTGAATTAATATCGAAAAAGCACCCTAATTTTCAATCGAAAATTCACCCGTCAAGGTATCAGCTTTTTTCAAAAAGTTGGTGTGCTTTCAGTTCGTCGAAATCTCTACTTATAAAAATATATATATATATTACTAAAGTAAATCTTCTCAGAAAATGCAAAAAATCGTATTCCATAACGCCCAGACCCGTCATCCCCTTACCTGCTTCTCTATGAAATACGAAAATCTTAGCCCATCTAAAGGCTAAAATTTTTTTTTTGGTCACTCAGGTATATATAAGTCATCTTAAAATAGTAATAAATTTTTAAAAAGTTTCGTATTTGATAGAGAAATTTTGAGGTTATGAGAAAAATGTTTAAATACAAAAGTTTTAGATCTTTTTATTACCTACAACTTTGCCATTCGACTTTTTTCCATAAGTCTTCTAGTTTTGCTGGAAATCAAGATAAACCGTTTTTTACCCTTAAAACATTCTTTAATTTTTTAATTTGAGAGGGGAAGAGCGTATCCACGGTAAAAACATAAAATCTTTGACAAATACGAAACTCAAACATTTTGTATTACCTATTTGTTTTTTAATTTTCAATGTATAATTAATCTGTTATTTGCGACGGAGACAAATACAACAAATCGAAAATCTTTATACCCGTTCTCGAGTTATATACGTTCGAACAAACCCGACTTTGTTTTGTATATTAAGATAAGATAAGGTGTATACCAATAAGAAAAATATACTATTCGTATCTATAAACTGAATAATGTTATGTGTTTACTATTACCAACTATACCACGACCTCGTCTGCAAAGAATTACGTAGCTTCAGTAGTTTTTACGAAAAACTAAATGAATTAAACAAAGATCATGACCATGAAAAATAATAGATAACGATATAACCATCAACAACGTACCACATCCATGATCTGTAAATATAACAATTCATATAATTAGGATAATTAATTACAATTACCTTCTGTATATAAGTAAACTCGTTATTTCTAGCACCAACTAGGTATTTTGGACAAGACAGCGTGTACTTATAAAAGAATTGGGCCGATGCGTTGATACTTGTTGCCTCCGCCCCTTTATAAACAGGTGGATTAAAAGGATTCACTTCCGTCATGTCCACATCCGTACAGGATCTGTTGACATAAGCCTGTCCGGCCCCACAGCATTTCCACAAACAAGTACGCCCAATACAGGGACAACCAAATGTACCATCTTCCAATTCGAACCAATTTCCCTTCACATACTCTACATCCTCGAATAAAATAGATTCATTTTCAAACTTCACACCCTCGGTTATATTTAATCTTTCGTCACGAGAACAAAGTTCACAACTAACTGTGTACACAAAGAAAACAATCAAAAAACACCTCATCTTGCTAAATCACAAATATCTATTTTTAACAAATTTCCTATGAACATTATTAAAAGTTAATTTGTATGAGTAATATAAATCGTTTTATCGCGAATAAACGTTTATCACGGTGCTTGTAAGGTAATGATGTATCATATTGATAAGAGATAACAAGTTCTCGGCAATAGTGTTATCGGCAATATGAGTATAGCAACGTCGTGACCGCGCTAGTGTTACATTCAGACTGTTTGCCAGAATTCTGAAACTTCAATTTCTTTACTTTGAGACTACGCACTTTTAGTTTGCATGTGGCAGGGACAATACATATTATATGCAATTGTAATGAACGCATATATTGGTCTCTGAAGATTTAAATGCAAGAATAATATAAAAACATGTCCTTTGTGCGTAGTTTTTTTACGAAATAAATAATTATAAGATATGTTAAAAGTGTATTTTTATAATTATAAAGGTACTACAAAAGACAGTCGAAAAGTTAATAAAATAAACAGTGGCGCTACAACCTCTTTAGGTCTTGGCCACAGATTTCTGAATCTGTTTCATGATCATTTTTAATCTAATAGGCAAGTAGGTGATCAGCTTCCAGTGCCTGACACACGGCTTCGACTTTTTGGGTCTAAGACATGTCGGTTTCCTCACGATGTTTTCCTTCACCGTTCGAGCAAATGTTAAATGCGCACATAAAAAGTAAGTCCATTGGTTCACAGCCGGGATCGAACCGACGACCTCAGGTATGAGAGGCGCACGCTGAAGCCACTAGGCCGGCCAACACTGCTCCTGCGAAAAGTTAATATAGAATTAAAATCATGCATAATGGATTTCTATCTTAAATATCATTCTTTTTAATTTATATATCTAAGTATAAATATATTATATTTCAAGTATGACGCGCAAATAATTCTTCTAAGTAGTGATTTAGTAGTTAACACTACGTAGTTGGTCCCAAAGTTCTGTCACTGGCACATTATTTCTAAATTTCGAGCAGGATTTTATAAAAAAAGTTATTGCATTCTATTTTGGAATGTTTGACTATTGTTTTAAAATAAAAAAACAATAACTTTCAGTAATTTTTCACGACGGAGTGGACATTGAAAGAAGACCGAATAGTTGTTATTGTGTTGCACCGCTGTGGGCACTCGCCGAGTACCATTTTCAAGTTGCTCAAAAATTTTAATATAACGCTTAGGTTTGTGTACGGTACTATTGATAGGTACCTTGAAGTCTCCAGTGTTGAGGACAAGAAAAGAACTGGCCGGCCACGCTCCGCAAGAACACCAGCAGTAATCAAAGCTATCAAAGCGCGGATAGTAAGAAATTCTGTCCGAAAACAGAAGTTGATGGCTTTGCAGATGGGTGTCACAGGAAAACAATAAAAAAAGAATTTTAAATGAAGATCTTGGTCTACGAGCATACAAAAAAAAGTGGGAACTTACTTAATGCTCGTCTAAAAGCAATAAGGCTTAAGAGATCGCGGGTGTTGTTTAAGCGGTACGCGGAAAACCGACACCGTGATATCCTCTTTACGGACGAAAAAAAATTCGATATTGAAGAGAAGTACAATAAACAGATTGATACAGTGTACGCTAGGAGTTCTGAAGAAGCTAAAAATAAAGTTCCAAAGGTGCAACATGGACATCATCCATCATCAGTAATGGTCTGGTTGGGAGTGTCCTATTACGGGCTAACTGAGGTTCATTTTTGCAAAAAAGGGGGGTCAAAACCAGAGCTAAAGTGTACCGAGAGACGGTTTTGGATCGCCTTGTCAAAGACCTGTCCAGCACCCTATTTGCGGGACATCACTTCGTGTACCAGCAGTACTCTGAGCCTGCATACAAAGCCAAGACCACTAAAGCCTGGTTTGAGCGTCAAAACATCGATTTAATTAGACATGAGGATTGGCCTTCCTCCAGTCCGGACCTTAATCCTTTGGACTATACATTTTGGCAGGTCTTAGAGAGGAAGGTCTGTGATACACCCCATAAAAATTTGGAGAGTCTGCAGTCGTCTTTAAAAAACTCAGTCACTGAAATCGACATGAATATGGTGCGTGCTGCGATAGACGACTGGCCGCGGCGCTTAAGGGCCTGTATTAAAAATAAGGGAGGTAATTTCGAATAAGTTTATGCTATTTCTATTCCTTAATTAATGTACTATGAATTGATTTATCACTCATTAAAAACTGATCAGTACTTTTGTTTTTATGATTATTTCCATTTATGACAGAACTTTGGGACCGACTACGTATATGTCATTGTTGCTTTCGATATTAACATTAGTGGCTAACGAACCTCCACCTAGTAGGTCGATTTGGTAAAATAAGTCGATAGTCGAGTGGACTAGCGCGATGCGAAATTAAACTTTTTTTACTACTAAAGATATTTAGTCACAAGTATTACAAGTGTGTTCTCTACAATCATTAAGTTTCAACCTTGATGGTTTATTGGTTTAAATAATGGATAAACTGTAAAGCGAGTTTTAAGAAATGTCATACAGAAAGAAACCAATAGATAAAATGGTGTAACAGCTGTTTAAGAACCAATGACACCAGTAAAAAGTACCACATAGATACACAAGGATTCGTAAAAGCTTACGTTTTTTAAGGTTTACATCACCTTAAATCAATTCAGAATAAATTGAGAATTTATTCATTCATTTCTCTAATCAATTTGAACTTTTAAAAATGATTAAAATTTGGATTTTAAGATTTTTATAGAAACAACCACTTGTAAAAATAATCGCTCGCAAATAATCGCTCGCACACAAGACGGTCACAGATTAATAGATCTCAATACTCTCTTAGAGTTTCATTTCGTCGGAGAATGTTTTTGATCTAAATATAATGTAGGAATAAAATAATACACATAGTATTAGTTTTATATCTAACAATAATATTAGGTAATGCGTAAAAACCTTGACATTCGTTTACGTGATTACAGAATTTAGTTTAGTTGTTTTAGTTTATTGTATGTGAGTTTAGTGTAGTTTAGTTTAGTTTACAGTAACTAACTCACGCTTTGTCACGTGTCAAGTTTTTCTTGCCTATATGAATGACCTATACCTACTAATAGTTAGGAATTGATTTATATTATCTTAGTGTTTAGGAGAGTGCTTTAGTACAACTTGAAAGGCAAGTTCTTTAGCGTAGCGTTTACATGTTTCAACTAAAGTACTATCCTAAAGCACTCTCCTAAACACTAAGATAATGTAAATCGGCCTGAATTGATTTATATTAAACAGATAGGTAGTAAAATAAAAAATGTTTCAGTCATAGTTATTTTTTATTTAAATAAGGGCACACATAATCACATAAAAATAAGCAAATATAACAACTTATTATACAATACAAACATTTCTACTGAGCACACACAGGTGAATCAAATTAAATGCATTTGCCGTTGACTACCGAAAAGTGTGAGCGTTAATGTGTGTCTTAAGTCTGTTCGTAGCACTGTCATGGCGTCGCTTATTACAATACGTCGGGATACATCCCGACTTACGCCCAATACCGTCTTCACCATAAGGGCACACAGAGCCCGTGCCCAGGGCCCCCATTCTCAGGGGGCCCGAAGGACCGACAATTTCTCTCCCACATTTATTCTCAAAACATTTTTGTCGGGCACATTATACTGTTATCAGAAGGTATTTACAAGGCATATGCTACGCCATTATATCGATAACTGCGCCTATTCCTACTGTACTAATTAATAAGGATATAATAGAAGACTCAACAGAAACCCTAAATCAGAGTTTAGACTGATGATGATGAATGACTAAGCTATTGATTGAGTAACATGATAAATTTTAATATATATTTTACAGACATATTTAGGGAGATTGGATATGAATATGTTAATTGCTAATCAAATAGGACCATTTTGATATAGAGAGACGACATAAAAGTTCAAAGATTCAAGTTTTTGAAGCATTATATGCTTCTGGGAGGGAGGGAAACTGCGATGCTAAAGAACATAAAAAATTGGATGTTATTTATTGAGACGAGTCTTACATTCTCGGTTTATGTTTTGTGAATAAGTACCTGCAAAGCAAAGATATTGCAGGTCCATGTAAAAGTATTTCACTTGGATCTAGGTTGATCCTTGTAAATGCTGGTCAAGAAAATGTCTTTATACTAACTAAATTGTTGTCTGGTGTACAGGGCAACAAATGTATCTGCTGACTACCATAAAAAATGGGTGACAGAGAAGCTAATTCCAAATCTAACAAAACGTTCATTGTTATGAATAATGCTAGTTATCATTCCGTACATATGAACAAACTGCTCACACAAGCTAATCGTATTGCTGACATAAAAGAATGACTCCCGTGCAAATAATTTACATTATAATGATGTTTGGCATAAAAGTAAACTACTTGAAGTAGTGTAACAAAACTAGCCTTTATATGAGATACTTAAACGGCACAAATATAAGAGTCTTTCCTCCAACTTCGATTTTGTTCCCTTTGGAGTAGAGAGTAGACTCTTGGGCCATGGGGTTCAAGTGCACAGGCGCTTTTAAAGATTTAAGTTGGCGCCTAGCAGATAGTACCGGTGATCCCAGAGCTGTTTCTATTATTACTTTATAGCTTAAGAAAATAAAAAATACTGTATACTTGATTGTAAATAAACAATAATAAAATAAAATAAATGAATCTAAGAACAACTAATAATTTTTCACATTTAATTTTATGATAAAATTAAACTTTCTAAACACTATTTAAGACACACATACTTAAAACAAAAACAATAAACCAAACTTAGTGCAACTAAAATATAAATAAAAACCAGTTCAAACCCAGCCTCACATAGAGCTATATAATTTTTAATTTGTAGAAAAATATACTTCATTAGATTATAAAAGTAATAGTTATGAAAAAGAAATGTACTTGTGTAAAGCAGAACAATGTTTTAATTAAACACCTTAATGTTATATCAATATTTATAAAAATATAGAAGCTTAAATTGGGTTTTGATAACAAATGATTTATTATCAATTGAAGGA